TAGTCGCAGCCTTGTGACATGTGAGCATTGTGCGTTATCGCACGCACATCCAGGAATCTGGGTGTCTCGTTTCCTATCCAGCTTGGTTTTATTGCAACGTAACCCCAAGCGAGCAGACGACGCGTTAGATGGCGTGTTGCATATCCGTATTGACTGCTGTCTTCTCCCCCGCTCTCGCTGCTCACGTGCCGCGCAGGTGATCCTGATGGGCCTGGTGGAGGGCTACCGTGTGAACGGCGGCCCGGCCGGCGAGGGCCTGGACCCGCTGTACCCCGGCGAGTCGTTCGACCCCCTGGGCCTGGCTGACGACCCGGACACCTTCGCCGAGCTCAAGGTCAAGGAGATCAAGAACGGCCGCCTGGCCATGTTCTCCATGTTCGGCTTCTTCGTGCAGGCCATTGTGACCGGCAAGGGGCCCATTGAGAACCTGAACGACCATCTGGCCAACCCGGCCGTCAACAACGCCTTCGCCTTCGCCACCAAGTTCACGCCCAGCGCGTAATGTATCGCTGCTACGTTTGCTAGTCGAAGCGGTTGTCCGCATCTGCCGGCCGCTGCTGCCTTCAGCTACGTTACGTTGTTTAGCTATGTGAACGTAGACACAACATAACCAATAAACTGCCAATACCGGTATACGAGACGTCACATGCATAGCGATTGCAGGCAGTAGTTGCCTATCCGTCGCTGTTGGGTAAATACGCTTGGATGCGCAGCTTGCCAAAACTGTTGAGTGATGCGTGGGTGCTTGTCAGTTATGTCCATCGAACCTCGTTGTCGCACTGTGGCCACCTCTGTTTTTGATGTCGTGTTCCTGCGATGAGTTCCCGCGTGGTGAGTGGTGAGCAGCGGCGGAAGCGGTCCTGTTACGGGCCTGAAGTTTTGATGTGGGTGTTTCCCAGTAGGGGTTTCCCACAGCACGGGTGTTGAGGTGGAGCTCTTACTTTTGGGTGGGGTATTGGGCGGTGAGACGTGAGATATCAAGAGCTTCATACAAAGCGCATGCACGTGCTGGGTGCGTTGCGCCAAGCAAGCTCCTGTAACATTTGGGGTGTTCATGACATAAGGAAGGTCTCGGTTCCAGTGCTTGTTTCACCGCTTCTTGGGGCGGGAGCACATACAGCCATTTTGGTGGGCGCGTACTGCAAAGGCGGCCACGCAAACAGGCACACATGGAGAACACGCGCGAGACACGAGCTAAAGGAACATGTCATTCAGAGGGATGATTCGAGGTGCATATGGCCACGCTCTATTACGCAACGAAGCCAAGGGTTATCGTGGCTATCCTGTGTTAGCGAAGTGAGCTAGGCGCTTAATCGCGGGTTGATGGCCTCGGTTGTCGTACAGTGCAAGAGTTAAACTTCAGC